ACACACACACACACACACGGAACCAATCAATCAGTCAATATCCTATACCCTCCTGAAAAAAACAGCAGTCTTTGATCGACGCTCCCAGCGGGCCCTTCCTAACTGGATGGGAGGCGGTATCGGCAGGGCGCGGCCCACTGGGGAGCTGCCTGGGTTGGGTGTTTTTTCCCTTTGGGGGCGCCCAGGGGTGTGTGGTTCTCGAAAGGGCGGCTGCAAGCACGTTCGTCCCACTATGCACTTGGCAAAGGCGCGCCGTTCCCGTTTTGTCATTGGCGAGAGCTCCGTTCGCGCCCCGACCTACATGCGCCAGTGTGTATTCGTTTGTGCAAGCGCTCCATGTTCCATGCTTCGTCCTGTGCTCCGTGTCGTGGGAGGTCGCTGGCCTGTTCGTGCTTCCTGCCCGTCGTGCTTGGAAGGATGGTGCTGGACCACGCACCCAGGCCCCCGTGGATCTTGTCTGTTTGAAAAAAAACAAGCGGCAGGAGGGCCCCCGTTTTTTATTCAACGAAAATTCAACGGGCGTCTCGGGGTGGGCGCTGCCAAAAGCTGATTGGCACAAGGGGCAGGGGAGCAATTGTCATAGTCTTACTTCTGCTCTGCGCTTTCTTCAGTGGGTTGTTCTTAAAGATGTACGGTGTTCTCGGAGGTTATTGCATATTTTTGAAGAGGCCCTGCTTTTCCAAATTGCGATCGACATTTTGGTGTGTGTGTCATTAATAACTGTAGTCGGCTGGATCGGATCGTTCCCGGAGGGCTGAATGGTAAGAAGGGGGTGGGGGGAGTTCTATCTTGCAGGGGCCAGTCCCAGCGGAGGCAGAAATGGGCAAAGGGGGGGGGGGGCATGCTTTAGGTGAGAACTCCTTGCTGCTGGTGAAAGGGGGGTAGAAGGTTGGTCCTATATTGGGGCCAAGGAAGAGTGCGTGACTTGCCTCAGTGGAGGCAATGTAGGGCTGGGTGGGGACTGGTAGGGGGCTGTCTCTTATACACATCTAGATGTGTATAAGAGACAGGGGTAGGGGCAGAGTAGGGGGTTGCCCTATTCTGGGGCAGGGGCTGGTGTGTGGGTCAACATCAGTCCCAGCGGAGGCAGAAATGGGCAAGGGGCGGGGGGGCATGCTTTAGGTGGGAACTGCGTGCCCCTGGGGAAAGGGGGGCAGAGGGTTGGTCCTATATTGGGGCCGAGGGAGAGCGGGAGGCTCGCCTCGGCGGAGGCAGTGTAGGGCTGAGGGGGGAGGGGTAGTGGGAGGGCGGGGCGATCTCTCTAGAAGAATTCTGACATCCAGTTTAGTATTTCTTTCCTGCAATAGGTGATTGTAGGAATAGGTGATATCTGCCAAGTCATCTTTGATCCTGCGTAGGGTGGTTGAAAATTCGGTGGCCCTCGAAGACCGACGCTGGAGCGACGCTGGAGCAACGCTGGCCGGAGTCGGAGCCAGGTGGCGCAACTCAACTCTGTGACCTAGCTTAGTGGGGGCGTGAGGCCTGGTAGAGAGATCTGGGGGGGCTGTTTGCGGGGGCAGTCTCAGTGGGGTCATCGGGGGACGTAACTGGAGCAATGCTGGCCGGTGCTGGAGCAAGATGGTGCAACTCTGTAACCTAGCCTGATGGGAGCATGAGGCCTGGAAGAGCTTCGGTTCGTGCTGAAAATAGGCATCCTGGTCGTGGTCGAAGGTGGATTGAATAGGTTTCACCTATCTGATTTGTGGTTGGGAGGCTTGTTGACACACATTTTCTGAATGTTTCCGAGTTTTTCTTTTTCTTCAATTGTTCTTAGCCGAAGCCGGGTAATGGCCCCGGCAGCTCATTTTCGTATTCTGATAAGAGACGCTGGGCCCGGCCTGGTTCCCAGCCGTGTTGCTTTCCCGGGGGGAAAAAAAAAGGGGGTCTGGGGGAATTAATCAGCTTTCAACAGCCCTTCCAGCCCCTCGGTTGAATCGGTCACTCAGCCCCCCCGTGAGAGGCGGAGAGTGGCCCACTCTAGTCCAGGGCATTCTCACCACGAGCACTTCCCAGAATGCATCTGACTGCAGTTCTGGCCCTCCTGGATGAATCTGGACGCAATGGCGCTCAGAGCTTAGTGTGCCGGTTCTTCTGTTCCTTTGTTTTTTTTCTTCTTCTTTTGTACGGAAGAAGAATCTCACCAGTGCCGAGGACTATGGACTATAAGCTGCGCAACCTTGATGCTCGCCTTCCGCCCGCTCAGATGTCCCAGTGAATGCAGTGTCCTGTGCGGCCGCGGCTGGGACGCTGATGAGAACAGCAAAAGTCAGCAAAGACTGACCAAGAACACATGCACACGTAGCCGCAGAAAACACGGCTGGGACATCTGCATGCGGCTACGTGTGTCATTGGGACGCTGCTTTCGGCCTCGGTGACGGAGGTGTGGGAATATCGACCTAGCTCCGTTGTATTAGGTTCGGGGGTAGTGGTGATTTAAGGATGACCTTAGAATCTTCGCTTGATTACCCTTCCTTCCCTGCACGTAGTCACGCTTCCGACTTTTTCAACTTGAATTCTATGTGTCATGGTGACCAGGTACATCCCGGCATCCCTTTAAGGCTGACCTTCAATTTATTATCCTTCCTTCCCCCACTAGATGTGTATGCCAGGATTGCCCACCATGCCTATATATATATTGTCACAAACAGAACTGCCCGGTAAACCGTAGGCAGAGAGAGAGAAGAGGACAACAAACGAGGGGATATATATCATCACATGGGATATGAGAGCGCAAAAGCGAAAAGAAAAAAGAAAAAAGAATGAATTCGTTTTTTTATATCTTCTCACACTAGGTGTAATGGTGGCCAAATTTGATTTGGTGAAAAAAAAAACTTCCAGCACGGCCTGTAACTGGGGGAGTCCTGGCGCATAGATGACCTTTCCTTCTTCTTCTTCTTCTTCTTCTTTTTTTTTTTTTTT